GAAAAAACCAGAAAAAACACAGCAAACAGAAAGTGTTGACGGAAAAAATTTATAACTTAATAAGTTGTTGCGTTGGTAAAAAGCTACAATCGACAATATGGACGGAAAAAACCTAATCAACGAGAAGATTCCAAAAGTCACCCAATGGAAAACTTGATAGATAAATACCACCAAAATACAGAGAAAGACAGTTTTGACTCAAGAAAATCAAAAAAATTACGAAGATCGAAAAAACCAAACATGGTGACAATTGGTAGAGTTCCTTGTTAGACTAAACTGCAAATGAAGCAGAATACTCACCAGACCCGTGGAGATGATTTTGAAAACATGTCAATTGAAGCTTCATATAGCAACCTGGAACCGCCGGATGCTTAACAACGGCCTCAAAAGTTTTCAGTTTCTAGAAAAAATTAAAAGAATTTGATAACTCAGATCTTTTAAAAATCTTTTGCTCCAAGAGGTCAAATTTGAAAGATTCAGTAACAAAATACAACTAAGATTCCAATCAAATAACTTGAAAAAGTGTTTTCAACCAATCAAAAAAAAGCTGGACACGTTCTACTGTTTGGAAATTGTCTTCAAACGTTGACATAATTGCAACATTGGACGCTGGTTTTGTTTCCAAGTTCTTGATTACAATCTTTTCATAAGATTTTATAAACACTATAAAAACCAAACCAGGAAGCCAAATTGTCCCGGCCGGGAATCTGAAGGCATGAAACAACGTGAAAAAGGATAGAATGGGTGGAAAGAAAGCGGGGGTGAATGCACATTTTACGATTTTAAAAATGCAAAACAATTTTTGACGACATGTAATTGGCTAATGCAGCACTGAATTTAAGCTCAGATCAAGACAGTCACCGGTAAAAAAAAACCTTGACTACGACTAGAAATAACTACCTTTTCAGTAACGGTTTCACGAAAGTTTTGATCTTCTTTATTATCATAAACAATCTGAGTGACCATAACCGCCTTGAATTGTCTCTAATAAAAGGTGAAGTTATCGAAAAAGCCTACGAGTGCGGATACTCAATAACAATGTACTGATACTTAACCATCCTGTAAGTTCAGATTAATTAATCACTCCGATATCAATCCAAGGTGCTCTGCTATCAAAAAACAGAAAATTCGAGATTTTTTTGCGAAGAATTTGCATTAAATTAAACCATAGAAAGAAGAGAGAAAAAACAGTTCAGGGTAATCTTGAAACAAATTGTTTAGAAAATGAGCCGAACAATTAGTGCTACAATAAGTTTTGAAACACTTAAAATTACAGGACAGCAAAAAAAAACTAGCAAGTATGAACATGATAGTTAGGGAGGTCTTCGATGGTAACCCCGAAGCTGTTAAACAAGGAATAAAGCAACCAAAGAAATTCAAGATTGATTTCAAGTGTAAATCTGGAGGTCGTCTAAAAAGTTCACACGTGATACTGGGCGAGGTGACTTGTTATCCCAGAGATCCCTATAAGAATGGAATTGTGGAAGATCTCGACCGCTTCGATACTATGAAAGATGCTTAGGAAGCTGAAGACATTAATAAGTCCAAAACCAGGTGGCTTGACATCCGAATTGTACAAACAACATAAAACTCTTTTCACTCAAAATTTACTTCCAATACTTTAACGATCACTTGTTGCTAAAAACCATTCACTGAGCGCTAATCAAACCACTACAAAAAGAAAACAGCAGCTAACTTCAGTTCGATTAGCCTGATAATTGAAACAGACCAAATTGTTTTTATTCAGAATATAAAAGTTGACAACCAGCAATATCAATAATTTGTTCTGAGCGATGATTTAACGAAAGCATTCGACAGCGTGGATCAAAGTAGTTATTTCAGAGACTGCATAAAGGTTTAATTGCCACTGCTTAATATGCTCAAAAAATCTAAGGAAAAACAAAAACAACAATTGGCGTGAATGGTTTTCTTTTTGAAGAATTATCATTTTATATACATTGACATTAACATATCTGCATAAACTATCACTTGTCGTATCACGGGGTGCTCATAGCCCTGATGTCGTCTCAGAGTTTCAAGATTATGCTCCAAAGCAACGATAAAAATTTGATGCAATTAAGGGAGAGCCTTGTCGTTTACCCCCCATACGACAAAGCTGTCCACTAATTACCTTTTTTTTATCGTTGCTTTGGAGGCTCTTGAAACTTTGAGAAATTATAAGTGGCATGAATATCCAGTGAAACGACGAGTGATATCTTATGAAGCTGATGTCAATGTCTTTGTACATGCAAATGAAAAAAAAGGCTCTTCCATGAGATCGATGATTTTTGCCAAGGAACACAGTTGAAATAAGTCGAGACAATAGTAAGATTCTATGCATTGATACTTTGTCGGAACAACCCAATGTATCATGCATGAAAGTACTTGAAAGCTTTCTAGGGAGCAGACAATTGATTGAAACTGCAAGTGAAGAAAAATTGTCTAATCAGTTCTATGAAAACATACTTCAGCAAATTTATGAGTCTCAGTGCGAAAACCAAGGTAATGATACTTTTTTTCCTACTAAAATTTTACGCGACATATTGCTTTTGAAAAACACATTGAAATAGAATTCCAGAAATTGAACCTTACTGCTTTATGGGTCGCATGATGAAAAATTGCAAAAAGTTCGTGGAACGAGCAATTAATGAAAAAAATGTTGGCTGGCCTAACAATAATTGCAAAGTTTTGACGGCAAATTTATTGGAACAGGACTTGTTTTTCTTGTGATAAACAAGCAAAAGAGAGCCTCAGTAAAGTTATCGAAAAATGTTATAGCCAAAAACACCTGAAAAGTGAGATAAAAAATTTGAAGTTAGGTTTGACAATCTGAAATTAAAAATTGGTGATATGCAGTTCATCATGAAATCTAATCATCGGAATAATTACAAAAAATAAAGAGTTATGCAATTTCATCATCTGCCTTCATCTCGAATGCCTGCACGCGAATCACTGTTAGGTCTCTCGAATGAAAAATTGCTTCAATTTTGGCATCGGGATAAAAGAAGTGATAAAATATATAGTTGGCTGTGGCAATGGGCTAAGTTAATGGGTTTTGAAAAGAACAAATACTAAAAATTAGTCCGTAGTTGTATACAAGATTAAGATGTACTCTGGAATCAAGGTCTAAAAAATTAGCAATTGTCAACTTTATCATGTCGTAAAATGAAAGATACTGCGAATATTCTTTATGAATCATTGGCAACCAAAGATGATTAAAACTGTGAACTAAAATGCTTGAACTAAAACTGTGACTCATAATGACCTGCTGATGTAAGCTTTTTGGGCTTGCTTGGAACTTAAATCAGTACACTGTAAAAAAGGTTTTGCGAAACAAAAAAGCTAGTGAATTGATTGATTATTTCTATAGTAAAGATTTCCGGGCTTTGGACCTATTTCTATAGTAAAGATCACCATCATGTATTCAAAAGAAATCAGTTGCTATTTTTCTTTATAAGTTTGCTCAATCAATAATAATGAAGCAACCTATATAGTGCATTGCTTGATTAAAAACTTCGGCTCATACTGACATACTGATCTAAATTACTCGATGTTTTTTAAAAAAATAAATCAGGATGCTGAAAGAGATCTGTTGTACGCATTCAGATGAAAGGAAATAGGGTTGCGTTGAATCAACCAAAATCTTATTTGTTCAGCACTCCCCCCCTCCCCCGATCAGTCAAACTATCCCAATCACTTAAAAAAATTCATATTTTAGTACTGTTTTACACTTTGGTTCTTATCTTGCAACATCCGTTCTTGCAACATATACATGTATACTTAGATTTTTTGTGAATTGAAATTTCAATCAGTTGAAACATGTTGTTTTGAAATAAAAAATTTTGTCGAAAACAAAAAAAAGGGTTTATCAACTGTCTCATCGATTGTAACCACACGCTTTTTGATTTGAGTTAATCAGTTTAATAGTTACCAGTATAACTTTTTTGGTGTTTACTTTACTACTTTCTATATGCAAATTATCGACTATTTATAAACACATTTCATAAAGATAGAACGAAGATTTTAATTAGAAGAAACACTAATTTTGCAATAAATAATCGCAGATTTTATACAAGGTTATATACAAGTTATGCAAAAGTTGAGGAATCCGGAATTTTTTGTTGAATCAACAAATAAATCTGTCTTCGTTACTTCATAATTTACAATTTTGCGGCATGCGTTTATAGTTTGCAGAATTCACTCACTATTATTTTATACATTACAATTCAGCGTAATCAACTTACTTTTTGTGCAATCCGGAACAACAACCTACATTCGTTCGTTGAGAAATCCGCAATAAAACTAATGTGCTGATAAATATAGGTTAGAAGTATTTGTGAGCAAAATCAACGGAAATTTTTCAAAATTCACAGTTGGATTTTGTTTAAAGACTTGTCTCTGGATTCCAGTGACATACAGACATCAAAGTGTGCGCCTATCCAGCGCACAGTTTGAATTCGTAATTTTTTTAGCAACATTTCTTCTCAAGTGACTGTAGCTCCCTTTAACGAATAAATCAAATCCATCCTTTAATTGAACTTTTTAAAGCATGAAACTTCTCTTTCGGGTTTCCAAGTAGCAAGTTTTTTTCAGCACAAAATTCATTTTTATGTAAAACGATTGCATTATACAGATTCTGAAGGTTTCAGACATAATCCATTGAAATTTGATACACTGAAAAATCCATTTTTTGGATATTTAAATCTTTTTTACACAATTTATTTAATTTATCTTAGCTGTAGGAAATTCTTATAATATCGGTTTTAGTGTCTAATTGGTATACATACAATCGATTTAATACTTATAGGAAGTCTGTATAAAATAGATTATAATCGATTTCAATCTTGGTGTTGTCAATGCGGGAACCTTCACCGCAGCAAGTCACATCAGAAATACAGCATAAATTTTAAACAAAAATAAAAATTTTCTCGTTTTTAGGCCCTTCTCGTTTTAAGTATGCTTAGCAACCGATTATTCAAGTTTCCCTTTGCTCTGTTTAGTTGCGACTGACGAGCTGACGTATCCCTACGAAGTGTGTCCGGACGAGGGCTGGAAGACGAGGGTCCTGCTAGTCCTCAAGATGCTCTACATCCTAATAGCCAATGTCATGCTTCTCAACGTCCTCATCGCTCTCTTCAGCTACAGATTCACGTAAGCAAAATAAACTGTAATGATTAGAGATATGGCGAGAGGAGTTTCTATGCTGATTTATAGTAGGCTAACAGTAATAGCAAAAAAGCACATCAATCGAGAATCACGATGACAACCGCTGCACTCCAAATGTCTCGAAGAGTGGTCGCCAGGCCACCTGATTTAACCTGATTTTACTGCGTTTCCATCATTTTAAGTTAGATAGAGGTATCCAATTTTGTTGACTACCAGTGGCGTGCGCAGAAGTTTTTCTAGGGGGGGGGGCGCTTTTTGCGGAAAATTTAGGTGAACTAATTTGATTTCCGAGCTCTCCAAAAACACTCTAAGGACCCTATATTGCTAAAAATTTTCTTCGCCGCATGCAATTTTTTTTTTCAGAAAAAGCAGCCGATTTTGGGCACTTTTTGGAAAACTTTGACCAAAAAATTGCGTATTTTTTTCGGCGCTCGCTCCCTCCTCAAAATTAATTATATTGGAGCCATAGGCGCCTTTAGAAAAAATTTGAAGTTGGTCAGCCAAAAAATGATGTCGTAAAGTTATACCAAAGGCGGGACTCTTTGGAAGAATTGGGCAACAAGAATTGAGGAAGAGTGGTAGCCCCCCTTGGCCCCCCATCGGAACGCAACTGTTTTTTACGTAGGAAAGTTTGATGAAACGAAAAATAGTATTTTAAAGAATACAAAGTTGGTACTGTTTTTCAATTTTTTCGAACAAACTTTCAAAGTTTTGCAATATTTTGGAGTATCAGAGCCCCTTTTAATGACTTTTTTCTATTTGCAAAGGCAGTTTTGAAAAGCAACCAATTTCTTTAATCTTTGCAGCAATATACACTGAAACGAGAAAGAAATCCATACGGAATTTGCGAATTATAGCGTCTAAGTTTCTGGCAATAAATAAGAGACTTTTGAAAACCAAAGTTGCTCCAAAAAATCTTTACTTAGAAAATTAATGCGAACATTTAGTTGCTCTACGTAATATAAACTTAAAATATTTCTGCTAAAATTTATTTGCTCCATGTAATCTATAGAGTTAAGTGTAATCTATCTAGTCTATAAAAAATTAATGCGAAAACTTATAATAGCTCCTTATAATCTATACTGAAAAATTAATGGGAAAACTTAAGTTGCTCCGGGTATTCTATACTTGAAAAATTAATGCAAAAAATTTAATTGCTCCATGTAATCTATATTTCAAAAGCTATTGCAAAAATTTCAGTTGCTTCATGTAAAAATTTCAAAAATTGTTTCAAAAATTTTAGTTGCTTCAGTTGCTTCATCTATAACCTAAAAAACTAATGCAAAAATTTTATTTGCTCCATGTAATCTAATTTGAAAAATTAATGGTAGAAATTTAGTAGCTCCTTGTAATCTATACTGAAAAATTAATGGGAAAACTTAAGTTGCTCCATGTATTCTATATTTGAAAAATTAATTAGAGAAATTTAATTGCTCTATGTAGTGTGTATTTCAAAATTAATGCAAATTTCAATTGCTTTATGTAGTCTATAATCAAAAAAACTAATGCAAAAAATTTAGTTGCTTCATGCACATTTAATCCGAAAACTGAAGTTACTCCATGTATTCTATACTTGAAAAATAATGCAAAAATTTTAGCAGCAATATGCAGTGAAACTAGAAGAAATCCACACACATTTTACAAATTATAGCGTCTAAATTTCTGGCAATAATTGAGACTCTTTCCAAAGCTCAAGTTGCTCCAAGTAAACTATATTTACAAAATTAATTCGAAAATTTTAGTTACTACATGTAATCTGTGCTTATTAAGTTAATGCAATCATTTTATTTGCTCCATGTAAACTATAACCTATAAAACGAATGCACAAATTTTAGTTGCTTCATGTAATCTATACTGAAAAAATATTGCGAAAACTTTAGTTGCTCCGTGTAATCTATACTGAACAAACTATTGCAAAATTTTTAGTTGCTCTATGTAATCTAAACTGAAAAAATTAATGCCAAAAATTTAGTTGTTCCATGTAATCTATACTTAAAAAGTTAATGCAAAAATTTTAGTTGCCCCATGCAATCTATACTTAGAAAATTATGCAAAAAATTTATTTGCTCCATGTAATCTATGATATAAAAAATTAATGCGAAATTTTTAGCTGCTCCATGTAATCAATACTTGAAAAACGAATGCGTAAACTTTAATTGCTCCATATAATCAATACTTGAAAAACTAATGCAAAAACTTCATTTGCTCCATGTACTCTATACTTGAAAAATTAAAGCAAAAGTTTTAGTTGCTCCATTTAATCGATACTTAAACAAGGATAGCTGGTTTCTGTGCAAATAGCACATAATGTGCCGACCAAATTTAAAAAAATAAAAACAAAAATTTACAAGTTGGTGTCGTCCTTTTTCTGCATGCTGTGATAAAAAAAGTCTAGGCAAAAATTAAAATTCAGGCATATTTCAGAATCATAGTAAAATGAGTCAATTGGAGAACAGTGTTTGAACAAAAACCGCTAGAAAAAACGAAACAAAAATAAAAGTAACTTAAAAATTTCATTTTTTAAAAAAAAGTTTTTTTTTGCTAAAATTTTTTCTGAGTTTTCAAATTTGATTCCCGAAGATGCGCTATAAACTCCAGAAACTACTTTTATTTGAATAAAACTAAGTTTTCATGGCTGAAATTAAGCTGAAATAAGCTATTGTGAGTATATACGGTCAACTTATTAGCTCGAAATTAGACCAAAAAACAAAAGTTTCAAACCGGTTTTTCTCGACGCTGTGAAAAAAATGTTTTAGTTTTTAATGTCGTTCAATTCTCGAGTAAAGGGCTTTAAAATGATATATAACTCAACCCAGTCCAATGATTATTTGTGGAACTTGATTAGGGTGGCAAAAAGCAAAAAAAAAACTAAAACACACCCGAATACAAAGTTTCTTCGAATTTTCAATGGTCGGAACAAAAATCAATGCGTTAACGTAATTCCTTGCGAGGCATGTATTGCAAATGGTTCTTTTATATTAACTGAGTTGTATATGTTCATTTGCCACAATATGTCCAATCTTATCCTCTTATCCTTTTTTAAAAAACCTCTTGACTTTTTGATGTGAAAGAGCCGAACTTTATCTCGATAACTGGTTGGTATGATTGGTTTAGGGAAATCCAAGAAATGTCTCAGGAGTATTGGAAGTACGCACGATTCCTCCTCACTGGGGGTAAGTACGTTTTTTATCTATTTCGTAGATTGATTACGTTTTTCTTTCAAATCTGACCAGTTTTTTGTTTGAGTTTTCAGATGAAATTAATTGTTCCGAAGTGAAATTTTGTGTTGAATCCTGCCGGTGGTTTAAGTTTACAACCGGACCAAGTGAACATTTTCACCCCTAATTAAATTTAGGAGGGAGATTGTTCATTTGGTTCAAAGTCAGATTTGAGTATAGTACATGCAGTAGTACATGCATTTGCCATTTAACTTTAGGCGAATTCGCCATTGAGTTTTAGGAGGCAGTTTATTCACTTGATCTATTTAGTGGGAGATTGTTCACTAGTGCCGTACCCTCTAATCATTTATATAGTTTAACCAATTTTCCATATCTCTTTTGGTGTTTTAACATTTACAGCACTTTTTTCAATGGGACCGACCCTTTAGCTATTGCGTACTGATTAACATGAAGCAGTTATTCTTGTACTCCTCTCAGTTTACGAATACAAACAAGCTTCCGCCACTTATATTAAGTGCGTTCGACAAAATTAACGATAGCATAAAAAAATCAAAGCGGAAATTCCATTTTCGCATGCTGATCAGCACGCATGCTAATCGCTACACCCCATGCTAATCGCATGCTAATCACTATGGTTTGCATGGTAGAAAAAAAATTAAACTTTATTAAAAGGATACTTTGCACTAGAGATACTTTTTCTCAGTCGTTTTTGTCAATTAACCTCTATTTTACGGTTTTCTAGAGAAAAAAAAAATTGGTGAAAAATCTCTTCCATACGTAGCACCATATATGTTGCGACGTATGATTTGCATGGTGAAAATTTTTGATATTTTACCAACAGCTTGCATAATGATGAGAAACCGTTTTATTACTATTTTACTCCGTTAAAAAGTTATTTTGAGGGTCTTCGAAACCAATGTATGGGCGAAGTATGATTAATCATTTTCCATGCAAATCCTGCATGGATGTGCATGGTTGCGCATTATCTTCTATGGTGGGCAGCCCGGGCCATTCTACAGATCCCCACAAATGACCGCGCATGATTGTTTTCTAATGGATTACTGCAACAAGCAAAATTCTTTTTTATGAATTAAAACTCTGAAGGGATCTCTTTAACTACCCCATTCCACATAAGCTTAAGCATTTATTTAGTTATTTGTGTGCTTATTCATTACTATAGGTGCAATAGGGACCACTTGGGGGATTGTTAAACAGATAACTTAAGATGTTATTTTTTCCAATTATCTTTTTTTTTGCAGAATATGCGAATAAAAGTGAGCTGCCGCCTCCCTTCAACATCATCCAACTGATCTATTACGTCATCAAGGCCATCGTCAAGAGAGAGATGCCCAGGTGGAAGTTTATCAAGCGAGAGCTGAAGGTAAAGCACGGTCACATTTTGAATACGGAAATATCTTTTAAAAAACCAATGTATTCTGAAGCGCTAGCACTAACCTTGAAGATTTAATGTTATGTAAATTCTTGTAACATATTATAATTGAATCAAGGTCACTGCAGAGTAGATTATTTATGCAGCTGAAAGACTCAGTCTATGGTTCTATGCAGCTACGAAGAAGCTGATAACAAAAGAGACAAAGTTCAGAGACTAATTCACCTATTTCTGAATATTACTTGTTTTACACATCAGATAGTTCCTCAGGTTTTCACATGGCGCTGTCAGCAGGATTCTTTGCACAGGACAAACGCACGGACATGGGTATACCGATATTCTTGGCTAGTCGAAACAGTTTTTTGATGGCGGTAATAGTGAAAGGAAACGTCAACCCGGAATTGCTTCTAGCGGATGAAAAAGAGGACTTATTGGATCTACCTTCTAGATTGGAAACCCCCTAGGGATGGCGAAGATGCTGGCGCAGCAGCAGCGAGGAAGCTCAGTTATGAAGTCGTGCCAGAGAATGAAGAACAAAAAGCTTAAGACCCGAAAGTCGGACACAACATCTATTACAACGCGGTTCAGAGTTAGATTGTTTTTAGTGTTGGCAACGGAAGGCAAAAAAAGATATTTACAAACACATTCACTTGTGGAGGTATCAAAAATTAAACTTAAAGATAACGTGATGGTGGCCAAGGACGGTTTCAAAAAAGTTGATTATGTGACTTAGGAAACGTATCAACTATTCCGTCATAGTCAGGAACAAAGTGAGACACTCGAAGCATTTTATGCAGCGCTATCTGTACAAGCAGCTAGGTTGGAAATAGGAACCTTGGATGATGATTTAATTCGGTACCTGTTCATCTCAAGAACGCGGAACACATCATTTCAGGGCAAACTGACATCGGAAATACTCACATCCTACGAGGTAATGAAAAGGGCTATAAAGCTCAAACATAGCAAACAGACTACACTTGTTTTTCAGAAAATTACCGCGGCGGTCAGTTCAGTGGCTTACAAAATCAAGCCAACTAATAAAAAGCCAGGAATTGATTATGGCTATAAGGAATTCGAATGAAGGAACCGAAGACAAAACAAACATAAATATTTTAAAGTATAAAAAGTACTCAAATATAAACAGAATCTTTAAAGAATTCAAGAAATACGACAGAGAAAAATCAATGCAACCGACATCTAAAAAATTGTCCTGTGATGAGAAAAATTTGCAACAACTGCAATGAACCTCATCGCCGTGCGAAAATGTACAGACCTTAGTGAGTAGGTGAGATAAAAGAAGAATCGGACAAATCAGAAGAAGAATGAAGTCTGATTTTAGATATACTTGAATCTTGTTTTGAATCTGAGTTTAAGTCTGTTTTGACAGGCATCTCGATTGGGAAAAGGAGTTCAAAAAACGTCAAGGAAAAAATGAAAAATCACCCAACCGAAAAGAATCAAACAAATCACGCAGCAAGTGGTGGTACAGAAAATCGAACTATTGCGAGATCTAAAATCCAACAAAAAGAAATCGCTAGAAGCGTTAGCTTGGATTGAGATACACGTAATTCAACTGACAGTAGATACTGGAAGCCCACGGTTGTTTCTAAACAGGGCTACGACAAAACAAATTATTGAAAACTCCAGGAAACCCAAAAATTTTTCAACTAGAAAAACGGTTCGTGGACTACAAAAAAAGCCAATTCTCATTAGAGCGCGTTGAAAACAGATTTACGCTCTGTGGACTGGGAAGTAAAAGAGCACTATTCTTGATAATCAAAAGGAGGACCAGATGCATAACGGGACTTACTGGACCTACAGGGACAATTGGTTGGTTCGACTACTCGAAGGACGGCTCTAAGAAAGATGTCTAAGTTTGGCTTCCTAAAGTGCGAGCAGTTGGAAGGTTGTTAAGAATTTTTTTAAAATTAAACAACTATTTGCTTGTCAGGGTAGATCAAAAAGTCACATAGTGACTTCAAAATTAGAATACTCCCTTTGCCTATTTGATTCTATGCTCCCTTTGAGGAGAATTTTGATACAAATTTAGGTATCTTTTCATCGCGCAGATTGCTATAACAAAGAAAATCCGAATAGAAGAAATTGCCAAAACCATACATAGGCAACTGTTCATAAACAAGTATTAGATACCCAACATCGCAAAAATCTTAGATTTTGAGAGTCAAACTAGTACTGAACAAAAGGCCCCGTTTGTTTTTTTACTGGACTTAAATCATGCTTTAAGTCAGCTGAAACTATTTGCAGTTACAGCAAAGCAATGCAGTTGCAGTTTAGACGTAAGTAATGCAATTGGCAACGGGAACCTACGAACTCTTAACAGATTTTTGTGGGTTGGTGGATATGCCGGCCGAAATTTTGAAAAAAAAATAAAAAGCGTCAAACCAACAGAAACTTTCATACCAGATGGTTTATGAATTGTCTAGAAAAGAGATGTTTTGGAGCATGAAAACTGAAAAACTAGTAAGTAAAGTTATGGAAAACATTACTGAGGAAAACCCAACTCTAAATAAAAGTGAAAAGAATTGGGGTTGAAACCAAAAGTGAGAAAAACCGAAACGATGTTGATTTAAGCCCACTGAGAACAACAAAAAATTCGAGTCTTTACCCAGTATAATATCCTGTTCTTGTTTAGAAGAAACTCGGAAAAAAGCAAAAATCATGAAATTACCGGGAAAAAAATTGAATGGGGCATAAACACAGAGCAATTTTTGAAAAAAAAATAAGGCGGCGGCAGCACACATCACCAGGAACAGCGTTGAGCGCGATGTGACAACAGGAAGTTTCCAGCAGGGAAGCCGGAAACCGATCCATAATGGCAGGACAAAACCAGGGCAATAAAGCACGAGCGGTCTATTCAGAGGCAGAATTGAGCCCGAAGTAACAACCGACAGCCGGGAAGCCCGAAACCAGTTGGATGCAGTAGGACAAGATCCGATTCTAATGATAGTAGTAGACCTGACAACAACAGAGTAAATGGAACGGGATTCACAAGAAGTTAGCCTAATCTAGTCAGAAAAGACGACTTGCAAGTTTTTGAACAGCTAGCGAAAAGGCGTATACAATCGTTCGAGACTGTCTGATCAAAGTCTACTAGCCAAGCTATTATCAGAAGACCCGTGGATGAACCGACCTGGACGAAGTGAGGAAAGGGAGGACAAGCAAGGGTTCCAGTTAACGGGAACGTATACGAAATCCCGCTGGAACCAGATAGCAGTAGTGGACGATTGCATCTTGGTGGATAATTGTCTGGCGGTCCCTGGTCGTGCGACCAGCGGTCCAAAAAACAAATCACAGAAGACAACCTGATCAGGAATCAGTGTTGGGAGTGTCAAAAAACTACTTGTGTTGTCAAGAGACATAAAAAATTTGGCAGAAAATGCTAACTGTCTGGAGGAGAACGCTAAATAAGGCATTCATAATGTAAGACCGCTGAACATCTAATCCAAAAAAATCCACTAAGCTTCTGTCACTGCCCACGCAGCCGGGTTAAGAACATCAACTATATTATGCTAGTTTCGTAAAAACACAAAAGGAAAAATACACATGTTGCTGGCAGTTGAATGATTTTCAATTTTTTCGTCGGTAAATGTTACTATTTGAACTAGTGGTAAGGCGGCTGTGGTTATTTTTCTAAGTATGATAAACCGATTCGTATTGCATATCGCAATCGATATAAATGGACCATTTTTCGGAGCTGAAAGGGAAAAAATTATAAACAAAACTTTGTACTAAACATAATATCGAAAAAAGTATTGTCCTGTTGGAGATCATAGAAGGCGCGGTCTTATTGCACGAACGATACAAACAGTTAAACAATTACTGGGAGTAATTTTACAAGAAAAAAAACTCGATTAAAATTTGCCTCACCGCAATTATTTGCGATCTCCGATGAATTAAACAAAAAACAGATATCGCCGTTCCGAGCACACTTTAGGAGATTCACCAAAAAATATATAAAAGAAATTTAGTGACAATTTTGTAGTTAGTTCCGTTCGTCTAGACAAAGAAAACTTGAAAAGATTGGCCGTGACGGCATCCCAGTTGAAGCAGATAATTGACCAGTCAGGAGAAAATGTGAAGATAGTCAGAAAATTGATATTGAGTACAGACCCCAGCCCGATGTTCAAGAAGCAACTACAAGCCGCGAGAGAAAAAGAGAGAATGAGAGTGTTGAATAACCTGCTCGGAGCGAACGCCAAGTTGAAGAAGGAGAGATGTGATGCGGCGATAAATGACATACGAAGAATTATCGACATGACGGGTAAATCAATTTCAAAGAGGTCAATTTAATCAAAAGCTGGAGTTTAGTGAGCTCGTGGGAGAAGACATTCATCGAAGATAAGGAAGAGAAACCATCGAAATCACCGAAGAAACTGCTTATCAAGGATGCAAAGAGGGAGAGAGGGAAGCCATTCCTTATTCCACTTGAAGGAAGAGTCACATCACATCGGAGACAGACTCAACCATCAGAATGACTGTGAGGCAGTCTACCAAAAAGTATCAAAGCCGAGGTGAAAAATAACCTATTAAACGACTGGACACAAGGGACTTGCGAACATCTAGGAGCATCCACATCAGGCAGATGCAAGTTCCCAAGCGAACGATTCTAAGAGAGCGCAGCGATTGTGACGTCGAAGAAACAGCAGCAGGGGTGGATTGCATCTCGCGATTCAGTGAGTTAGACCAGATACAGAGGGACCCAAATTGGTGGCGAGACCGAAAACACAGGAGGAAACACTCATGAAAAAAATGAGGACTAACAAATGAACAGCACACGAGGCGCGACGAGAGAAAGTTGCAACCGAAGTTCAAGAACATTAGAAAATGGGACTGAGAATCACCAGTGACAGGGACGACGAACAGGAGGCTTGGTCGGAGGATCAATCGAGCTCAACTCCAAAGAAAATCGTCGGAAAAGGAAAAAATCTACGAGTGCTTGACAAATCAACGGAACCTGAACAAAACTTTAGTCGCTTTCCAGAAACTTGACCTTTCGCCGTCTAAATGGGAGGATCTGGCTGATCAAGTGCTGAGTAGGGTAGTCCATAAAGTGAAGGTAAAGTTAAGAAAAAAACATCAACCGGCGCGCAAAAGGCGACGACAATTTCAACTGAAGCCTCAGAAGATTCCAGCATTGAAGATAGTGGGAATCGGAGAATTGAAAAGGAAGGAGCCAATACGGTTCGGAAATCCGATTAAGCATTCTGTCAAGGAAGTTCCAGCCGAAGTATTAACGGGGATCGACTCCTTAAAACTGCGTTAACAGCCAAGAGGGCGAAAATGGAATACTTCAAAACTCGTTCGGACCGTCCAATGGAAACCCGCTTGGGTGCAAGGACGACATCTATTCCGCACGCAGTTTGGATATGCTACTTTCGACCCAAGAGTATCATGGAACCCATGTTGCATAACTGAACCAGAGGAAGATAAGAGAAGAAGCAAAAAGTTAAAATGGCCAGGATTAGAAAGCAGAATTTCTCAAGTGATACTCAAATTAAGTGAAAATTTTTAATGTTATTGTAAAATTTATTTAACTTTCAGTAAAAAGTTTTCTGCCAATCTTGCCATGTGATACTGCGCTAGCAGTGAACTAGAAGATTTAATGTTATATGAATAATAAAGACATATTATATTTGTGTCAAGGTCACGGTAGACCATACTTTTTATGCAGCTGAAAAATTCACAAACAATATCTTGTCAGTTCAATTCAATAAAACCAATTTTGTTCATTATATAAAGCCGAAGAAGTACCATTTTATAGGCAAGTGAGAAACATCAAGTGCACAAATGGGAGGACCTCAGAGCGGCCGAGCTCCTCCGGAAACAAGCGAAAGAAGTAGAGGAGAATATCTCGAACAAGGTGGCACGAATAGAAAAACGACTCGGAAAACTGTCCAAGACCAGCCAGAACGTCGAGAACTCCTTGCGCAAAATGGGTGTGTTGCAGAAAAAACCGAGTGCAGATGAGAATTTCGATTCCGGGTCCAAAATAAAGCAGGTGTCCGAAGCAGCCGAAAGACCCAGCACAAAGCAGTTCGAGTCGGACTTGGCTTCTATCAAAACAACACTGGCTAGACTTGAAAGTTTGATGAATCAGAGTGTTAAACAGGCATCGGCCTCAGAAAGAGAGGCTCGGCCTGGCGGACTCCCGGACCAAACTAAAACAAAAACAGGTGTCAGAAGCAGCCAAAATTCCGAATACAAAACAGTTGGAGCAGGATTTGGTTTCATTCCAACTAACACTGACTAGACAGTTTGATGAAACAAACAACACTGCCTTGACTCGAAAGTTTGATGAACCAGAGTGTTAAACAGGCATCAGCCTCAAGAAGCTAGACTCGGCCCGGTCCCAAATAGAATCAATAATTAATCCTTCATCAAGCGCCGTGCTACTTCGTCCTTTAACTTAAGCTGATGTACAAATTGTAATCTAAATTTCTATTTTTTTCTGATAGAATTAGAATATCATGACTTGATATTGTTTTGAACTTCATACACAGAGCCAGTTTCGGATATACACAGACTGCCATTTGCCATATTACCCGATCAAATCTCAGATAGAAACTTCAATCAAAAGAAGCGGTTGCGAAAAATTTTCCGGCGCAAGCAGCTAATCCTTAATTTTTTGTAAGAGAAAGGTTAGGTCTTCGCGAAAATTTCGAAATCTCAAAAACTTGCAGTCTTATCATTTTTTTAGTAGAGAAACAACTAAGGTTTTAGGGAAAAGTCAAAACTTTGAAACTACGCATTTCGTCCAGTATCACTGTAACAAATTCAAAAAATAGTAAATATGTACCTCCAGGTTTAGCTGAGCCCTAGGTGTCCTCCATCGAGACATACGAAAATTTTGTTTCACCGGTTTCTTTCAACATTTTTCTTTTTGATTTTGCTTGTTCTTAATTGTGTGGTATCGCAAATGGTGCGAAGCTCCGCTTCGCCTATCTGGGAATTACTCCTACGTTTTGATTTTTACTAGTTTTGGCTTCGTATATATTTATTTTTCGCTTAAGAACTATATTCGGTTTAGTGAGCTAATTTGGGGTTAAATTAAAAAAAAACAGACGTTTTGGGCTTCATTCTGGATCGCACAAAATGCCAAATCTCTTAGAATAAAATTTAAAGTTCTTAAAAAAATTATATATTTTCGGTTTTATGGAGAATTATTTCTGTTTAGTCGGCTCAGTTGCCGCTTTTTGTTTATTTTTTGAAGTTTCATTAACTGACGTCGACTGTTTTAGGACGTTTTTTTCTGCAAAAAGAACATAATTCCAGACAATAATTCAAAAAATAGTAAATAAGTACCTCCAGCTTTAGCTGAGCCCTAGGTGTCCTTCATCGAGACATACGAAAATTTTGTTTCACCGGTTTCTTTCAACGTTTTTCTTTTTGATTTTGCTTGTTCTTAATTGTGTTGTATCGCAAATGGTGCGAAGCTCCGCTTCGCCTACCTGGGAATTACTCCTACGTTTTGATTTTCACTAGTTTTGGCTTCGTATATATATTTGTTTTTCGCCTAAGAACTATATTCGGTTTAGTGACCTAATTTGGGGTTAAATTTTTAAAAAAACAGACGTTTTGGGCTTCATTCTGGATCGCACAAAATGCTAAATTTCTTAGAATAAAATTTAAAGTTCTTGAAAACAATATATATTTTCGGTTTTATGGAAAATTATTTTTGTTTAGTCGGCTCAGTTGCCGCTTTTTGTTGAATTTTTGAAGTTTCATTAACTGACGTCGACTGTTTCAGGACGTTTTTTCTGCAAAAAGAACATAGTTCCAGACAATAATTTGATTTTTTCACAGGCAAAAAGCAAGCGTTTTGCAACCGGGTGCTAGACTTTTTCTCATAACTAACTTTTCTCAGAGAATAGTCAAACAATAACAAATATTAACTGTTCAATATCCACTAATGAGGTAATGGGATGGTCATTGTATTGGTATCATCTATCGTTTGAAGTTTGCAGGCAAAGTAAAAGCTCTTGTAAAGTATTGTTTTTCATAAAATTGTTCGACTAATTTTGGTGCTGGAGGTCGTTCGGCTTTAACTATATCGGCTTATTTTCCAGAAATTTTTTTCTTTTATTTCGTTGATATCTGATTACACTATCCAGCCTTCGAGCGAACTGTGTTTGTACGAACTTTCTATTTTACTAACCTAACGCGCAAATAACGTGTTCATTAAAAGTATTCACTTATTTGAGGGCGCTTTTGCTATAATCATGGCAGTAGCATGGGAAATTTTATAGCGTCTGCTTTTTGCTTTGTTTGTGGCTAGTGTTTGTGATTTATTAAGCATTTATGGTTGACGGGTTAATGCATGAGACTCCCAATCTCTAATTTGTAGATCATATTCGAGACATTTTACTACTTTTACTTTTTAGAGCACTTTATTGAGCGGCTTTTTATCGTTCTGTTACTACTGTTTGCAATGCAATATATTTCTTTAAGAACCATATATTTTAGTTCTTCGATTTTGCATAGTTTTAATGTTTTAGAGCAATATAGCAGTCTCAGTTTTTGATCTTGTAATATTGTGAATTTTTTTGGTCATTTTTGAAATCAATCAAAAATTGGTTTCTAGATTTCGATTTTTTTAGAAACTTTTTATGGGCACTTCTATTAATTTCAATTTAAATTTCGGTTTTTCTGATTTTTAAAAGTTAATTTATTTTTTTATACGCTTAGTTGTTCTTGGGTCTTAAAAAATATGTAGCTGTATTTGTGTCAGACTTTTTTTTTCTCAGAAAAATTTGGTTTTTGACTTTTTTCCATCTCTGCGCGGTTTACAAAAGGTTTCATACCTTATAAGCAATCTATTGCAGTGCAGCCAAATTAGCTGAAGGTGGATTAAATATGTTGTTAGCAGCTTTTTATTTATTTGCTGTTGACAAAAAAACTCGCGGAACAGAATTTCAAATTTTTCTCATCTTTTTCCTTTTTCTTTCTGGATCGCAAGTGGTTCGAAGTTCAGCTTGAATATTTCATTTTCAGTTATTATGCCAGGTTTATTGATATGAAAAGATTTTCAATAGGCTCTACAAAACATGCCATCAATTTGACAAAATGTTGCTTGACGAATCGCGTTCAACTTGAAATACTGCAAAAAGTTCTCATTATCAGCACTCGAAAATAAAAAATCATTTTTTTGATTAAGTTTTGGCCTCGAAATCGTTTATATACAAAATACAAAAGGAATTATTGTGAATATAACAAAAATACGAAAAGAACTGAACAGATCAAGGGTTTCTTTTGAGGTTTACAGCCCTTGCAAAAAACTTGCAAAAAAAGGTTATCTTGTAAAAAAGGTTATCTTTAAATGAGGTTATCTTGCAAGATCTTATAAGAATCTTGCAAGATCTTTTAAAGAGATGCATCCTCTTTAAAAGAATCTTGCAAGAATCTTGCAAGATAACCTCCCTTGATCGACTAGGGCTTTGAGAGAAGCCCTGAAAAATCTTGAAGGTAAGTGACTGAAGCGTGGGCGTGTGAACATGCAATTAGCTTTAAGAAAATATACCCAAAAAAATATTGGTTTAACGTAAATAAAAAACTTTCATCTTTGAACGAAAAACCTCATATTCATTATCTGAAAAAATTTCACAGTTTATTTACATCAAAATGATCTTTTTTGATACTTATTTGCAGGTTAAGCAAATAAGTATTTCTATTTGGTCGAACGCACGAAATAGGTAAAGTTTGAGAATCCAAGTTAGAAAGTTTTTAGATTATGATAGTTTCATTAAAAGTCTCCTTCAGCAACAGGTGAAAAACTAAATCAAAGTAGTATTGATATTAAATTTCACCAGCAATTCCTAAACACTGTCATATCGACTCTCGAATAGAATTGTTCTTGCAATTGGTTCAACTCTACGTTTTTCTGATTTTTCGATTTTGCAAAGAAACCATTGGGCAAACTGTTTTTAATAATGAAGAGTTTGGTTATACTGAGTGGTATCGCTAACTGCTGGCCAAACATCTTCCCCCTCATTTTTGCGAAAACAGTCTTTAAAATAGAAATCAAATTATCCTCGAGAAAACTGATCGGTCTCTCTGAATATCATCTTTGATTTTGCTTCTACCCCGGCAACAAAAAGTCAACATGTGTCTTCTATTTTACTCATTGTCCACTGAAACTCCAAGTTATTTGAAAATCTCGCCCATTGACAGTTTTGTTCAAGAAAAATTTGAATTTGACCTGTGATCTTTTCTTTCGAAAAGTTAATTGTATTTTGTTTCTGCACCTGTTAATAACAAACAAACGGTGGCTAGAAGAATTTCCGGGTCTCTGTGGAGTTTTATGAAAGCTCTAAATAGATTTGACCGAGTCAAACAGGCAGGACTTGGTATGCTGCGATGAAGAATAGAGATCATTAAAAAAGTAGGAAAAAAAAACAAAACTGCCGCAAATTATGAGCTTCAAGTAAGAGCCGTGCTTCCGTACTGAGCTGATATCTGCTTGTCTTGTATGATTTTGAAGTTTATGAAACAAAAATTTTACTGCGGTATCATTTTCAGTTTTCACATTCTGTGATATGAACAATAATTGTAATAACTTTACCATATCAAATGTTATGATAAATAGAATGAAGGGGTTTATTGGTCAACAATGCAGGCACGACGATATCATCTATGATCTAATGCATCTCTCTTTAAATCAGTAGCTTTCAGCATAGCATGTAAACATGAGCATTTGTTTTTAAATTTATTTGTCGGATAAATTTGTTTGTCGACTTGTCTGGCGGATAAGATTCAATTTTTTGCAATAAATATTTTTTTGAAAATAGGTTAATTCCAAACTTTTTCTTGCAAACAGTGAGCCAGCTATTTGAACTATAATTACCTGGATCTGTACTTTTCCATGATTTGAAAACTGAAGAAACCCTAATAATTTTTTGGACTATCAGGAAAGAAAACCACTGCAAACACACTTATTGGAAAATTTAGACAGAAATGTTTATAATACTAGTGCAGATATTTTGTTTAATTGGTATTGATGCCCTAAAGTTTTTCCGTGTTTTTGTTTTCAAACCTGTAACTACCACTAATATTTTGTCCGACAAATATGATGGCGAAAATTGAATTTTCACAACCGTTTTGATTGCTCTGATTGATCAAAGTTTTCTTTGCCAGCACCAAGTTTCCCTCAAATTTTCATTACAGTTTTGTTCTGCACATCAGGATCAATATAGGTTTTTTCCTCATTATTTGTCGCAGAGTACATTAAAATTGGTGAAGTTGCTTCAACTTAGACTATGTTTGGTTTTTGAATCAGACAAGTTTTTAGCCAAATTCATTTAAATATAACAAGACTGCTCGTATCTAGGCGAAACCTTGTATGTATTAACTGTCTCTTAAGGTCTATGGAGCAGTAATAACATGAAAAAATTAAATAAAAAAATTTAAATTAGGTTTTTTGTGAAAAAAAAAACAGTTTTATTTTATTGCATTTAATTTTTTCATGTTGATACTCCTCCAT